TCCCCTACAGGATCAGTTATTTCTCTATAAAAATATTCAACGTAAACAATCAAGAGAATCCCAGTGACTCCCGAAAATTCCGTTTATCTACATCAAATCGCACCTCGACAAACCAGTTTCAGTAAATTCCACCAAAAATACATTCACTTAAAATTCCAAAACCAACTGGGGAATTCTTCCAGATCATAAAGACAAGATATAAAATCGTCTGGTAGCGATCGATGAATCTTGATCAACGCCCAACAATGATCGTTTATTCCGTGTAGCGATCGCGGAAAATACTCGCCGTTGATGATCACTACTGGTAATTAACCCTTTCGCCGCGACAGATTCAAACGTGTACGTTGCCTAACAGACGACAGATATTTAAACTGTGATCGACACTGCGAACAGCAAAACTTTTCGGTCATGATTGTAGAAAACTTTAAGCTACACGATGACGGTGGTCACGATACAATATATGTGCTCTTGCAAATCATGCTAATAATACGCGCTTTGTAGCAGTCGTTGGTGAGAACACAGCAACGATCAATTTGTTGGTGAGCGATAAAGGCTGAACGTTCGTAGGCGCCAACAGAGTACTCTGAACGAAATTTCGAAACGCCTGAAGGATACTATGTTGCGTATAAATGATCTACACAATGATTCGGCTAAGTCTTTATTTGTGTTATGAACAGAGAAGATTCGTTCACGAACTGCTCTCGCTGTCGTCGGTAAAACAAGTCTCCTCCTCGACGCTTCGTCTTTTCGAGGAGCTCGTCAAAACCCCGGAAGTTATCCTAATTGGTTAATGTAGCGCGTCGGCAATTTTGAAACGCCTATAGGCGTCAATGGTATACTCTAAATGAAATTTCAGAACGCTTGTAGACATCAATAGTGTGCTCTGAACAAAATTTTAAAACGTTTATAGGCGTCAAGGGTATACTTTGAAAAAATTTCAAAACACCCATAGACGTCCAATAATGTGCTCTGATGGAAATTTCAAAACATCTACAGGGAACAATAATACATCCTAAACGAAATTTCGAAACGCCTATAGCAGGGACTTCTACCGAAACGTAAAATACCGGTATTTTTGGTTGTACCTTTGCTCTATATAACCCTATATATACCCTACTCTTATAGAAATCGAAAAAATACCGATATTTATTTCGGTTTTCGGTAATATATCGGTTTCGGTACAGCTTTGATGGCATAATACCGGTATCAAAATCATACCGGTTTAAGTCCCTGGCATGTAGAGATTAATAGTAGCCAAAAAGTTGAAACTGGAGTAACGTGGCCAGTGATAACGCGTGCCGATCCAACAGGGGAAGAATAGTAACGGTGGGCAGGTGTTACCATTCACGAAACGAACCGCCAATTACGAAACCGAGGACCACACTCGCGTGGTTTTATCGCGTGCGAACCGAATCGGTGCTCGAGAATAGTATGGAGAACGACGCGTCCGTTGACGATCGAACGCGCGACGACGAACGGGTCGACGGATGATCGAGGAGAAGCGCACAGTCGCGGCTGGACCACGGAAACGTTGGTGGCTCAAGGAAGGGAACTGGTCCGTCCCGCGGTGCTTTTTCGTCGTAGGGGGATAACTTTTTTTTTTGCCGACATACGTTTCGCCACGGTGGATGAAGCAATTCGAGAGATTATAGGGCGTTACACGTATGATTGGTGGGATTGGACGGTGTCGATTTGATGACGGATCGGAGGGGAGTTTCCGGTGATAGATGAGGGACACCTGGGCTTCGGGCCCTCTTGTACCAAGGTGGATCGATACGTGGAATAAGAAAAATGTTAATGTTTAATGCGTGGTTGCTCTTGAGATCGGTGATAGAGAGACGTTGAGAGGCTATGAAACTGGGAAGTGTTGATAGTTCGATGGAGGATTGAGCGATAAATGAATCGTGAGTGCGTGTCAGCGGATGATTGAGAGGAGAAAAATAATTTTAGAACATTGATACGGTATCGAATAATAGGATTGAAAAGCGAAAATTTTAATTAAAAGAGGTTTAAAGTAACGGGGCTGGATGTGTTCATAGTTTGATGAAGGGTTCAGGTGTGGGAGAACTGGGAAATAGTAGCTTTTCTAGAACTAGTTTTTCCTTTTTTTTTTTTGGAACTGGTGAACGATTGGAACGAACAATTAAAGTAGAGACAATCAAACATTGCGAATATAAAATCGGTGCGATCGAAAGTGTCATTGATTCGTCGAATGATCGTCAAAATTTGGACGTTGATCTGGGGTCCTCGCGAACAGAAACATGTGTTCTTTCGAATGATAAAAACGATTTGACAACACACGTATATCAACCCAGGTTGTCTTTGACAAATAATACTGATCCGCCGAATAACTCACTCGGGGAAGTAACGATCCGCTCGGGCCTGTGAAAATATTCTGAAAAGTGTTGAAACAACGATAACGACCGCGGCGCTTGGGCAAATATAAATATACATTCTTGTGTTTTAAACAAAACTGATTGATCGTGGATCGTTTACGGTCAGCTTGATAAGCGAACCGAAACAATCCACACACGTTCGGATTGCTCGCCGTAGAAAAGACTCACTGACCTCGAACGACAATTGGAAATAAAAAGGATCCAATTTAAACTTTAATAAAGTCTCCTCGTCGGGACGACGAATGAGAGAAGTGTAAACGAAAAGACAAACAGGTATCGAAAAGTGGAATCGATATATCCTGATAGATATTAATACTTTAATAAAAAGAAAAAAAAAGAAAAGCAAAGAGTATAATCCGTTTCGAGGATAAAAAAGAAGACTGTAGTTTACCTCGCGAGAAGTCATAAAACTTTAATTGGATTCTCGTTACCATACCAACTAAAAGCACAGTAATTAACGTAATTAGTACAACGAGGCGGAGATATTAATCATTGTCGAGGGATTTCAGAATGTTCCGTTCGAGACAGCTTGGAATTTCTTAATAGTTCAAACGGGCGCTGTTGACGCCGACTCTACTCGAAATATCTTGTAACTTTTCAGTAATTAAGCGCACACAGCCGAGTGTTGATGGTAATTGAGTGAAGGATCGCGAAGGCGCAGATGTTTCCCGGATGAGTGGGGTTCGGTAATTTAATTGGATCAAGCACGGTACGATAAATAAAGGCGATAAGTGTGATCGGATTAATCGTCCGCGGAACCATGGATCCGTTAAGATGTCGCGTTGGAAATGTTTAGAAAGGTATTAATAGCATGATGGACGATCGAATGACACTCGGCCACCAGTTAACTACCCGCTGATAGTGTCTAATGTTTATTTGGAAGCGAATTGACAGGACAAATAGAGGAATTGAGCGGTCGTTACGTCGCGACGATATAAATTGAAATGGATATACGTGTAGGGGGGGGGGGGGACACCAGCGATGAATTAATCGTTCGTGACTTTGGAAATATACGTTTCGAACGTTTGTCAATATTTATAATTCGCAATTACGTTTAAATCGTATCCCTTAGTTCACGTTAGATTATGGTTACTGAAAGATCGAGCTTTTTTATAAACAGAAAATTTCGTCGAAAGTGACTGAACTTGACTAAAATGAAATAATAAGTTATAGTAATAGTTTAAACAGTGTGACAAATATTTGTCTGTGTGTGTATATATACAAAAGAAACATACATAATACTTTGTATGGTTCAAGTAAACAATTCGCTAAATGATCCAGATGAAACCAGATCTGGTCGGAGTTTAATTGCACCGGTGCAATTTAGTTCGGTTCGATCGACGAACAAAAGGCTTATGTGGATGTTATATTATATAAACTACCGCTAGAAAAGCTCGTGCCGATTAACAATAGCGTGTAAATGTCGCAAAGTCAGCGACCGCTAACCACCAGTAGCAAGAAACCTTGTCAAACCACCGTGACACTAGCGAAGAAGGAAGAAAATGATAAATAGCTTCGAACATTGGAAGTGACATAAGAAATTCGGACACTTTTGTTGTCAAACTTCAAACAAAACAGAGAATTAATTAATGAAAACCAAGAATATTCATCGTCAGAATGTATTTCCACTACGCTGCCAGTTAATAAGATCCTTGAATCACGAATTTAGACGAGTTGCAGGATCGATTATCAGAAAGTGCATCGGATCGTCGGAAAGAATCCCGAAGAGAACGTTCAACCGACCAAAATTACAAATTTCCACGTCGGAACGTGTTCAAGACCACCTCGAGAACTAATTGAATTCCTGAATTTCTAGCTGGGAGGCTGCGATCTTTCCAGACATCGATCGCCCCACCGGAAGTGGTCGCTGGACGTGTCGGTTCGGAAACGTGGATCCAACCAGTCGCCATAATAAACTCCGTGGCTACCTCCGGCGATTTTCTATTAATATGTCCCCCGGATGAACAATCTCTATTCGTCGTCGTTAGCCGACAATTTTTCGCGGAGGCGTCACCCGCCAATAGGGATCTATTTTCGAGGCCTTGAATCGGTCCCGAGTCATCCTTGGGCCGCCAGTCTGATTGTTTAGCAACACACCTAACGAGCGGCGGTCACAGACTCCGATCCGTTTAGCTCCACTGGCTCAGAATTGTCCAGCAAGGCTTAAAATCGTGCCACGAGCCTCTTGATAAACATTTCGCTTCGGTGATCCTGACAGACATCGTCTTGTCTAGCCCGAGCCTGAACGATCTGGACCGCTCAAATTTCCCGGAATCGTCTTAATCGACTGCGACAGACAGTCCTGGGAGCTATATATCGCGAGTGTGTGTCTTGAACGAGGGGCGCGGCTGCCTTCTTCACAAAAATGATGGTCGTCGAGGGAGACTGGGAGATAGCAGACGGTCCCGAATAAATTTCCCACGAAGCATCCATGGCGCTTAGAAGCTCCTGTAATAGGGGGATGAATTCGAGCCCCTGTAACTCGAAAGTCTGAAACAGCGCCCGAGTCCGTTCAGCAAGGGGAGCTAAGTCAGTGTCCGGGTGTAATCCTCTCGCGGAAGAGGTGTCTTGTTAGCGGACGATCCAGCAGAAGCCGGGCGTAAGATGATAGCGAGCGGTTTGAACGGCTCGACGAGTCTCGAGGGATCGATTCGATCGTCCGTGGAACTCGATCCGACTGGTAGGAGTCTGCTGATCAGCGAGAATCACACCAACAGTCCGATCGTCGCGTTCTTGCAGCAAGATGACTCGTCGACCAGACGTGATCCTTTGTACATTGTGCTGCCTATCACGGTGATCTACGCGGTGATCTTCTTCACCGGGCTGATCGGGAACGTGTCCACGTGCGTGGTGATCGCGCGTAACAAGTCTATGCACACGGCAACCAATTACTATCTGTTCAGCCTGGCGGTCTCTGATTTACTGCTGCTGATATCTGGCCTGCCACAGGAGATGTACTACATATGGTCGCATTTCCCGTACGTGTTCGGCGAGGCCTTCTGCATTATTCAAGGATTCGCGGCTGAAACCTCAGCGAATGCCACCGTGCTGACCATCACCGCCTTCACTGTCGAGAGGTTCGTATATACGCTCGACGTTTTCAGATCGCTGTCCCGGAAGTTGCGGCGGCGGAGCCGGCGGTGGCTACCCTCCAAAACCTATCCGCGCGCGACTAAGAGTAATGGCTACGGGGGATCACGAGAACCGCTCGATAGGTGGGACAGACTGGGTACTAAGGGGGCTGTTGCGAAAGAGAGGTCCTTTCGAACCCTTAACCACTCGCCCCTGCAGCTTATCCTCTTCGTTAGAAATCATTGCGTAATTCCCGTCGAGATATAGCGTGGTCGTAAGATCATTCTGGCGCTAAAGTAAACATGTTCAGTGGTAACACTTCACTGATGGGTAGGTTATTAAGAGATTTTGCGATTTTAGTGCTTGTAGACGAGAAACCTACTAATTCACCCTTACAAGGAGAGGTCCCCAGATGTAAGTTCATTCAGGCAGTTCTATGAAGAAAATGTGATGTTTCGTAAAAATTATACATGTCAAGCCACGGTTATTGCTTATGAGTACCATACGTGTTGTCCATTGAACTTTAATACCACCTGAACAATATTTATTTCGGACATTCGGCAATTTTGCAGAAAAATGGAGGAAATAGTTTAATGTATTTTTTGACGAATTTTTGCATGTAGAATCACATCCTTTTTGATTGTACCACCACTTCGGAAACACCACGTATATAGACTACACCTTTAACATTAAATATCTCATGAACTAATGGTCATATGCAGCTGACGAAATCCAAGCTCTATCGTTGTGCGTTACACATGGGGACCTTTCTTTGATAGATCATGGTTAAAGATGATATTGTCACGTTATTCTGTTATAATTTGTGATATTTTTCATGAATGTAACTAGCCACTGTGATTGAAATGTCTAATAATAGTTCCTTGGATGTTGATCGTTTGATCTACTAAACCCATTACATAAATATGAGCCAGTAGGTAATGTTTATATTATAATAATTGTTTCACAATATCTATCTGTTTACTTCCGTTGAACCTTGAGACAGATAGTCTCTGTATCTTCCATTTCCGATTTCTGGAAAGCTGGAAATAGCTATCAAGAGCGTTAAGCAGTCTTCTGGGAAGTTGTTCGAATACAGAGACTTGTCTTGATGAGCAAACTTCAAAAATATGCAAACACTTGAGAGCATAAAGTTGAATTGCTCGCGAAAAACATTTCCAGAAACCTCAACAACGCTGAATACAAAATTCTGTTCTCCCAATAGACAAATGGAAAAACATAACTAACACTGTTATCTCCCCAGAAACAATGAACTTTTCAAATTTCTTCCAATTAGTCAATTTTCATATTTTCGAAAATATTTGTCAACACACGGGACAAATATTGAATACCTGTATCACAGCAATTAAAATATACTTACAATTAGTACCTAGATTCGTGTATCTATAGAAAAAAGTAAAATAGAGATAACGAGGATGATTTAATATAATTTTTTGTGCAGCCTTAACCCATCGAAACTATTAGTAAAGGAAATAAATTTCTCTTTTTGTGTATCAACATACATAACTGTGAATTTACATAAACTTTCACGGTCTATTAACAATATTTAAATGAGAAATAAAACGAAACGTTATGAGCGTTTCCCTCCCCTAAGAATAATTCTCTTTCAATTCCATATACAAACTTGTTTAAACGGATTGTATTGTTCCGAGGGAGCTGCGCGAAGTATTGACAGTAAATATTGATTCAATCGACAAACATTAACGGACACGTTCTTCAGAGATTCAGCTGCGCAGCTGAGCCGTACGGTTTCCGAACCTCTCGATAAGTATAGACCGAAACGAAGCATTCTCGTCTAAAAGCATCGAGGTTTCAGGGTGTATGGTTACACGTCATCCCGTCGTCACATTTGGGTCCACGGAACTGTCGGAAGTAACCCTTCCTGATTGACGCAAATAAAATACGCGGAAACTCTTCTTTTATTTTCGGAGACACACACATTCCTGTTGATTTTCCGACCCGGACGAGTTTTGTAATTCCGTCTAGTTCGATCCCATGATTCGACGCAGATCGACACCAGACAGGTTGAAGGACGCTGATAAATTTTTTTAATTGGATCTGTAACACTGACGTAAAATTCCGATTAATATCTCTTGAATGGAGGAATTAATTATTCTCGAAGCACGATTTGTCGTTTGGTGTCTTTAAGACGACACGAGTTATTAGTCATTCTGTTCAATCTTTGATCGATCGTTCTTGGATCTATCATTCGGTGTGAAAAAAATGATTGCTGCTGTCTAACTTCTTCTGGCGGTGAGACCCTTTGTAAATAGTTGTTATTTAGTCAGTTATTTATTTAGAATTAAATTACAGTGTTTTTTGTGTACATTTTTCTTCCGTGTTCTTGGAAGGTGGGCCATGTTTTGGACAGGCAGATCCGATTGTATCCGTTTTTGTCACTTTTTCGTTACGTGACACCGAGAACGCCTGGGCATGTCAGCTTTAGCAACGCTTTTCGACGCGTAATTAGTTGACACAGTCTCTGTCGGACCACGAAGATAAACTTCGTGACAGAGGAAAAGACTGATTTTTCCTTGGCTACAATTCTTGTCGCAACCCCTTTGAAAAGACAATATTGCAAAGAAAATCGTTAAACGTACAGCTGTTCTGACAAGATCTCATTAATGGAAAAAGAATGGTTGTATGATGTATCGTCAATTATATAAATACTCGAAATTTCGTACAAGCATTTTACCACTTGCATAGCGCCTTCATTTTAACTCTTTCCGGCTGTAGGATTCATTACCTTACTTAGTATTTATAACTCGTATCGTAATAATTTAACTTTTTTCGTTAAATGGGTCCATTCTTGAAAATAATATTTAGGAATTGTTCCAATGAATATTTGTTATTATTTATACCCAATTTTTTTGTTTCGTTCTATTTTTTAATTCTCTTGTTCGTCGTTATTGCTAGAAAAAAACTTCCGAGTCCTGTAAACAACGAGGCCCCATTATTCTTTCAGGTACGTCGCGATCTGTCATCCAATCATCTCGCACACGATGTCGAAGCTGTCCCGTGCCGTCAAGTTCGTGATCGTGATTTGGTTGCTGGCGTTGTGCCTGGCGGTGCCACAGGCGATCCAGTTCGGTATCGTGTACGAGTACAGCAACGGGTCCGCCATATTGGACAGCGCTAGGTGCTCGATGAAGTCGATCCTGATCGAGCACGCGTTCCAAATATCCACCATGTTGTTCTTCGTGGTCCCGATGACGATCATCACGGTCCTGTACATACTGATCGCGATCCAGTTGAGACGATCGAGGCTGCTGACAGCCACCGTGAAGAGGAACCATTTACCAGCTGGATTGAACCATTGCGACAGCGGTCGAGGGAAAAGCTCCGCGCAGAGAAACGTGATTCGCATGTTGGGTGAGCAACATTGTACCTTTTCATACACTTTTCTTAGACGGGTGATTCGTATTCGAACCGCAGGATTTCGATACAAGGGCAATACATTCGAAACTTATTCTACTTATAAGAAGACCCCAACCTCGGGTTACCGATTTCAATAAAACTTTCAGAACATGTAGAAGGGTTCTTTCTCTTTATAAATCACCCACCCATATGGGGGCAGATATTTGAAAGGTTTTTGTGAGATTTTTGAACTTTTTCGCACGACTTAACAGTCGAACCACCAAAAACTTTAGAATATCGTTAAAAAAGATACAGCCTTCTACATGTCCTGGAAGCTTCATTAATATCAGTGACTCGAAGTTGGGGCTACCTTCTTGATTGTCCTGTCTAAATAGCTGGCTCCTAATTACTGGCTCTTAGTTACGTCACGTAATATACATACATATTAAATATTTTTCAATGCTTCGATGCAGAGTTGTTAACTCACTGATCATCGTAAACTTATCACTACGCCACATGGTTTATCTGCTATTTTCGGCACTGCTTTTGAAATATTCGTTTTTTCTCATTGTCAGTTGTACAAGCTGCATCGTGTTTTCATGTTGCAGTATGACACCTTTTCGATTGTCTATAGCAGGATATTTCGGGGCAATTGCACTGTTCAGCCGTGTTAATTGTTGACAATAAACGATAGCATTAACTCCTGGTTTCAATAGCTCAAAATACTCACCATAAACAAAGCCTATGCACACCTCAACAAAGCCTATATCACCCAGTGGATGTTTGGTCTTGGACTCATTTTTTCACACGTGGTTACTGAATTAACGTAAACGATCGACAGTTAATAATCACGGAATTCTAGGTTATTTATATCTGTTTTATTGAACCACTGCGATACCCACGCGAGAAGCTTAAAATCCGCAATCGTCACTGGATTAAACATGAGATCAAGAAATTTGTGACTCTGTCGACTCGAATAAACCCCTCCTCGATTAAAAAATTTCGGTTCAAGATAAATCTCTTCTTCAGAATTTACTATTTTATTATGCAACAACCTAATATTCTTCCTAGGCACTGCTGCTAAAGAATCCCATAACATTATTCCTACAATCATCCTCTATAGAAAAATTACGTTCATCTCTCCGATCCTCGATCGCCAGCGTCCTCGATCCTCCACGATTTCTCTAAACCGCTCGGACTTCCCAGACACAGCATAACCAAGTAGCCACTGTCAATGATCAATGAAAAAATCAGCGTTGTCTGTCCTCGACGTCGGAACATCAACCTTGATCGACGACCATGGAACCGGTTCGTCCCCGCTATTAACCGTCGCCAGAAATTGATTTACTGTGGAAGAAGAGGGCACGGGGACAACGCCTCCGCGAAATTCCTCGGGCCTGGGGCAGGGAGGGCGGGATGTTTGACTTATTGTTCGGCCAACTGCGACACTGACGTAGGGAACTCCGAAACGGGGGGAAGGGTTAATCTAGCCGAGACGCCGAGAGGGAAAGAGATGTTCTCTTGGTTTACGACGTCATAAAAATAGTTTCCCTCCGACGATAAATTCGTCGGTGATACATTCTTCCGAAAGACTCAACGTGTGTTGTTCGTAGAAGGGGAGGGTGGCTAGACGGTGGTGGGAGCGAAGGGGAAATTTATTGCATCCGAGTGATACTGTTTCGCCGGATCGTACGCGATTATCGAGGAGGAAGCGCGTGTATAAAAGAAGGACACGCGGGTAAGTATCCGTGATTAATCGAGGGAAACGTCTTCGCGAAGCCGAGAATGATATATCGTTAATCGGGGTTTAATCAATGAAGAAGGCTTGCCGGGAATATAAATAGAACGTCGGGGATTCCGGGTGGATTGAATCGAGAAGAGAAGGAAAAAGAAAGGGGGAGGTACGATAAGGGTTACTGTTAACCGGGTAAACAAAGATATTGGTTGATTATGCTGAGTGTGCTCGTTTGACGATTTACTGTTAACTTAGTTCTGTGTCAACTGTTGGCACTGATTAGATACATAGACGAAAATGTGAACGAGGTTAATAGAATTAGGGTCATGGAGGTTATGGAGATGATTATTGCTGAGCAGATTGTTGCGTTTTATATTAACCCTTTCTGATCTGAATTTTCTTTTAAGAGTAAAAACAGTATTTGATTACACATTTTAACTCAATAGTTTGTTTGCATGTTTTGTTATAAAGATTTTTTTTAATTTTGTTCAAAAATAAGTATGTGTATTGAAAACATTTGGAACATCAACGAATTCAAATTTATAAGAAAAATGTGGATGTGCAATACACTGTACCTCAGGCTTTGTGTGAAATTATAAGAATACTAATATCTGAAACCGTGAATTCACATAAACTTCTGCAGTATAGTTATTATACCAGTGATAATAATCATCACTGACCTGCTAAACTTGATTTAATTCCTTCGAATATATACAGGGTGGACAATGAAACGTGATCAGCATAGATTCTAGTGCTAATTTGATCGAAATTTTTTTGGTTAGTATAACATGATTCAAGAAAAGTAACCTTCAGTTTTTTTTTTATAGATAAACATGTAATTTCTTTACGCCCATCTATTAGCGCATACTGAAACGAATTCACAAACATCATAACAACTAATTCTTTTTCTGCTAGACTAAAAAAACATTAAGGAAATACAATTTAACTTAATTAAAACAATGTTCAAAATGGCGTTCATCAGCTGCAATACACTTGCGTAAACGGTTAAGAAACAACTGCTTACATAGTTCTATTTATGACTTACAATATGTAGTCATACTACAAACGAGCAAGAAATGCAATAAGGTTATAAGAAATGAGTATTAAACAAAACGATAAGTAGAGCAATAATAGAAGAAGTAAGTTAGTGGAATAAGACGAGAACGATAGAAAGGAAAAAGTGAACGTGACGAATGATTGGATTAAGACAGTTCTGCAGAGCTAGGTTAAGTGTGAACCAAGTCTACATTTCTTACACGTTTCTACATTTCTTTCTACGTTTATTTAAATCACTCTATAGTCAAAATTAATCTCTTACCTTCTGTTTATTACTGCTCATGATGAAGAAAACAAGAATGTGTCTGGCCAATTTAAATTTCAAGCATACTCACACATCGTGTCGTGTTCCGGAACATGTGACAAAATGAAATTTGTATTTCGCTGGTCTTCATTTCGCAATCCTCAGGCTCGTCTGTTTTCTAGCCAAGACATCCTCCTCTACACTTTTAACACGATTTTTTTTACACACAGCAATTATCGTCGGCGATGACGATTCCAAAATATACGTGGGGCAATTTCGAGGACAAGTAAAAATCGTGGACGACAATGTTACCGCGAGCACGCGAATAAAACTAATAAAAAACGGCGATCGCTATCGTGGGAGATATTGTTCTCGAAATAACGCCGTTCTTCCAACGATATTACGTGAACGACGCGCGGAAAGTGAACACGTTGTAAATAACAAAACAAAAAATTCAATTTTCCGTTCGCGCAGCGGCTTCGCGATGGAAAACGCGGTCGCCCGATTCTGTTTGCACGACCGGCGCGCCACCTGTCGCCAAGAAAAATAAAGATTGCAGTTGCTCGAGGGCGAAGAGTATTCTGGGAAACCATTATTCGAGCATCGAGTGTTCGTGAACTTCGGTTATCTATGGGGTCAACACTTTTCTCAGCTATCCATTGTCGACCGAAGAAAGTACATTCGATCGCTCTTAAAAAGCCTCGAGTGGCCATCTTTGGATACCGAGCTCGTTCGAGCCACCGCATTGTCCAGTCCGTTGAAACTTGAACCGTAAAATAAAAGAGCGACCATTTCGCCTTTTTCTTGCGGTTCATTTGCCGCGGCAATGTCTCTCGGAAGGGAGGGGGGGGACTTACGCGTCGATGGAAATGCTGCTTCTTAACGACGCCATCAGTACTACCGATTTAATCAGTCGAAACGTTCTGTTCTCACGGATTTCTTGTTCAACTGTGAGAAATCGTCGTTCTTGGAGTTCTTTTCGCGGGAAATCTTCACAGTAGTGTTTTACGTTCTTTTTTCCAATAAGTAGAGGTACATCTTTTACAGTAGACTTATAATTAGGTTATAATACGGTCTATGTTCTGCACATCGTCGTTTGCAGCACTGTGCATATGTTTCTTTTTAGAATTTCATTTGATTTGAAAACTTCCAAATCGAAGGTGGTGTCAAGTTTTGATATTGACCCGCGGTATATTTATTGCGATAGTGTATACATGCTTACGATCGCGGAAGATTACTGAAAGCAGTTCGGGTGTCTCTGGCGCGCGTAACATTTGAAATATGGCGGCAATGAAATTTAACGCGTGAGGCTTTTTCGCAACATATAAATCTGAAGTCGAATTATCGTTAAGTGTTTACGGCCTCTAGCTACTCGATTGGACAGCCTGGGAAACTATATATCAGTTCTCGTTGTTGTGTATTTATATTTATTATGTTTCCAATACTGTCGCAAATTAACATTGGCCTAAACAATTTATATAGAAATGTGTTCATTGTCTATCGTTGGTCGTGGATAAAAATAGTACACAACCTCGCTATTTCTGTCCATAAAATAGAAGCTGTAAACTTCACTTCGAATTATGAAAATCTATTTACGGTGTATAAGTGATATAGCGTCTCGTAAAATGAACTTAATGGAATTTAATGGCATAGTCTTGTACACCTCGTTAAAGATCACTATGATTTATTCGAATGCGCAGACACGATTCCGTTCTTTGATATTCTTATCAACGGTGATGATGATAAATGGTAGGATTCGTTTTTCCCTTTGAAAGAGAACGAAACCAAACGGACCACTTCTGACTTCCGAAAATGCCCCGGTATTGTTATCTCACTCGTGGTTCAATAGGATCCATAAATATAACAACCGGGAAGGAGTTCAGACGGGCCATTGTACTACGGGTGATTCCTTTCAGCAGTTTCCGGCAACCCATCTGTCCCTCATATCGAGACTCATCCATTGTTTCCTCTGCCGTCATC